CGAAAGCTTATGCTCTAATAAATTTGTAAGTCTCTAAGGTGCGACAAGTCCTCCTGTTCATCTTTTTACTTTAAAGCAGTTTCTCCTAGTGTAATCATGAAATAAAAATAGCAGCAGTTGTGTGTACCCAGCATGCACATGTCATGCCATGTCAATTCTACTCTCATTCACACCCACTTTTACTGCCATGCAGGCAGATAGGTACATTGTAAAATGTCCTACATGCAGACCTGTTTAACTTGTGCACCAAAAGTGATGTGCAATATGTCCTCCAATATTTAACCATGACCTGATAATGTTTTTAAACACAGCTATCCTGGTTCACAGTAAGGGGAAAAGGCATGTTGAATATTGTGTTAATGTGTTTTCTAACCCAATTCATTTTCCCCACTATGGACAAGTCCCCATTCCAATTCCCAGTTCCATTTCTGGGGCAGTACAGCTACAGATTGTCCCTTATACAGAGTACTGCTTAAAGGCACAAATCTAGCCCTATATTATTAAAGCATCTCTCTTCTTCTCCCTCCTCTTTCTCTCTCCTTATTCCCTGTCTCTTTCATAGCTCCCAAGTGACCAGTGAGATTATTAGAATCAGAGGTTCAAGGTTAAGTCCTCAAAAGCTGGGGAGGGGGGGGGAGAACCAAAAAGTCTTGCCTACCCTTAAAAATAACCTATTCACTAAATCGTTTCTTGGAAAAGGGATGCAACTAATATGGCTTTCTCTAAATAGTGGGATCAAAACAGGGAAATAATATGCTCTCTTCTAAATTGACCATTTTGGATTAACAGTCAGTGTTGGAATCCATATGATATTTTACATTTAGTTTTTTTAAAGTTCAAATAAAGTTGCATAAAAAGTAGCAAAGACTCCAGCACTGTAAAGCTAGTTTTCAGAAAGTCATTCACAGGCAGAAGGCCAATGGGCTTCCCTCTCCAATGGCTAGGTGTCCAGCGTACTCACCATAGCAATTGTTTGATCATCCCCAGATTTGGGGACCTCTACTCTTTGGAGGTCCCCAGTTGTTTATGCTCATCCCAATTCTCCAGCTTGCTGTTTCCAACTAGCTAGTTTGGAACTTTTCTACCTAAAGCTTCCTGTTGCTAGGAGACATTTTGCCTTTTTTTGTGACATCTTGTTGCCACAGCACCTCTTGTGAGCAGAAGCACAAATGCCCAAGCATGGCCAATGACCACTAAAGACATGCAACAGTGGTACTTTATATCTTCTCTATTTTTGTATCCTTTAATTAGGAGTTTGACTAAACAAAAATATTAACAGATTGTATGACCCAAAGAACATACATGTTCTCATTATTTTACAGTTATTTTGTTAAGACTTTGTTTATCCAGGCACCCATAAACTGAGAGACTCCTTCATCCAAAGGTTT